CAAGCGTGCTAGAGGACTTTGAAGATAAGACTTCGGTCACTTTTATATAGACCTTTTATTATTTGTTTGTACTTTTGTATTTGTAAAAAACAAACTGTAATATAATTATATATGTTATAAGAAGATTATTATTTTAAAGTCCGGAAATAGTTCCTTTACTCCATTGCAAATAGCAAGAGTGAATTGTATTATCAGTGGGATGCCCCTGAAAACATTTAAATTTTTCCACATCTGAAAGGCCAAAAAGTGTCATCTAAGATTATGCTTATACTCAAAAACAAATTATGTACTATTAGCTGAGTACGCGTGGTTTCCTTGTGGCCATGGTTCATGATTTTGAATTCAAATTATAAGCCTTTGATGATGGTTAATGTTGTAGTACAAATTATGTGCAGCTTTGAAAATGAATACTGTTCAGTAGTGATTAAGAGCTGCCGATAGGAGGCGCTGCTAGCGCGTTATACTCTCGACCTACATAATTTGAATTGAGTATTCTTTTCTATTGTGTACTTGCTGTAACAGATCTTACAGCTTTGTGATTGAGAATTTAAAATATTTTGGAGCCAGATCGTTCCTCTACAGCAACAAAAAGATTAATAAATATATAATAAAGTAAATATCTTTGTGATGATAATCTTTGTTATTAAATACAAAGTTAACCAGCTCCTGAGTACATACAGTTCAAGTGGTCCGTCGAGAATCGAAGGTGAGCCCTCCCATTTTAATCTCTATTAAATTTGAAGAGTATAACTGTTATAAATATAGAAGCTCTAAAAACTAGAAAAAGAGCGTTAAAAAGTTCACTGACGAGGCATAAAGATAAAGTTGTTTCGTCATTAGATGTTTCAGATTCAGTTGCGTTGCAGCTATTTGAAACTAAAACTAATGAAATTTCTAACGAACTTAAATCTAAGGATAAAGAAGATACAGATGATATTGTTGATGAGTTGCTATTGATGATTAAACGTAAATTAGCAGTAGTAAAAAATAAGATGAATTCTGAACATTCTGTTTCTCCTGTGCCGAGTAATAATAATTCAAATGTGTTTTCGGATGTTAAGTTACCGACGCTATCGGTACCGACATTCAATGGTAAAATAGAGAATTGGATAATGTTTAAAGATATGTTTAAAGCTAGTGTAATAGAAAACAAATCTATTTCGAGTAATGCAATGAGATTGCAATATTTAAAAGCTAGTTGTAAGGACGAAGCTCTGAGAGTAATACAGTCTATTTCTATTTCGGATACAAATTTCGATATAGCTTGGAAACTTTTAGAAGATAGGTATTCGAATAAACGTGAGCTTTTAAATGCTATAATAAAAAAGCTTTTGAATCAGCCGAGTATTAGCGAGACATCTAGTTCTATTCTAAATTTAATTGATGTAACGAACGAATGTATTCGAACTTTAAATATTTTAAACTACAAAGTAGAAAACTTATCGGAAATAATGATTGTATATTTGATAGTGGATAAGTTTGATAAATCGACTCGATACTGGTGGGAAAAGGAATTAAAAAACTCGGAAGAATTTGGTACGATTGAACAATTACTTTCGTTTTTACAAAGCCAAGCGAGAACGCTTCAAAATAGTAAAATAAAGGAGGTAAAAAAGAGTAATAATTCTCCACATAAACTTACGAGTATGATATCCACTTCTAATACGAAAAACATAAATTTGAAATGCATAAAGTGCCGTGGTGAAGAATTCCATTCATTATATAAGTGTCCGGAATTTATAAATCTTTCTGTCAATGACAGGTGTGAATTCGTGAAAAGAAATAAGCTTTGTTTTAATTGTTTGAAAAACCATTCCGTTCGAACGTGTTCGTCTAATTATCGATGTCAAAAATGTTCACGAAAGCATTCAACGCTATTACATTTCGAAAATGAAAAAACAAAATAAATCCGAAAGTGCTCATATTTCAAAGCCGGAAGTAGGGGGGGGAGAAGACGACAGTCAGTCTCAATCCGAATGCTGAAAAATTTGTTTATGACTCTTCTTCTACCAATAAAGAAAGTATTTTCGCCGGCACAGCTGTAAACGGAATGCGTCAGACCAAAAATGTTTTACTTTCTACTGCGAATATTTTAATAAGAGATTGCTACGGTGAATTAAAATCAGTTCGCGCTTTGTGTGATGTAGGTTCGATGACGTCATTCTTAACGATTGAATGTGCTAATTCGTTAGGGATTAAAAGAGAAAAAATATCTGTTGCGGTTTCTGGATTAAATAACACGAGAATAAATATTAATTCTAAAGTATGTGCTTCTATTTCAAACGGTATTGACTTTGAAATGAGTTTAGAATTTTTGTGCGTGCCTAAAATCTCGGACTCCATACCAATAAATAATATAGAAGTTCCGACTGAACATTTTCCTCAAAACATTAAGTTTGCTGATCCAAACTTTTATAAAAGAGGAAAAATTGATGCATTATTAGGCGCAGAGGGTGTTTTATCAGATCTTAAAATTCGGTCAAGTTGAAGTGCCCAATTCAGAGCTAAGATTTCAAAATTCTGTTTTTGGCTTTATAGCCACTGGCAGCATTTTAGGTTCAGAGACTGAAAATACGCGAGCAGTTCACTGTGGATTAATTAATAATTATAGTGATATAGAAAATGAAATTAAAAAATTTTGGCAACTTGAGTCTATAGGAATTAAAGATGATCCCAGTGAAAATGAGATAGATCAATCTTTAGAAACATTTGAAAAAAACTGTTCGTTTTAAAGATAACCGGTATGAGGTTCAATTACCATGGAAAAGAGATTGGGGAGAGCTCAATAATAAATTCATCGTTGCAAAAAAGCGACTTAATTTACTTATGCGTAGACTTCAAAAAGATCCAAATCTTCATTTGCAGTATATTGAAACTTTAAAAGACTATGAAAATAAGAATATTATAGAGAAAGTTAGATGTCCTAAGGAACCTGTTGATAAACCTGTGTTCTATTTGCCACATCAACCAGTTTTTAGAGAGGAAAGTGCAACTACAAAAATGAGAATAGTATTTGATGCAAGTTCCAGTCATAACTTTAAGCATTTAAGTCTAAATGATTGCCTGTGGTCAGGGCCAAACCTGAATTCGAACATATTCGACATTCTTGTTAATTTCAGATTAAACAAAGTCGCCTTTACTTCAGACATAGAGAAAGCTTTCCTACAAATTTTATTAGCCGAAAAGGACAGAGATGCAGTTCGTTTTCTGTGGGAAGAAAATGGTAAAATTCAAGTTTACAGATTTAATCGTGTTCTTTTTGGTGTTACGAGCAGTCCATTCCTTTTGACTGCTACTTTGAAAACTCACCTGAGAAAGCACTCTGAAGAATTCCCGACTACAACAGAATGCTTAGACCGCTGTTTGTATGTGGATGATTTTATTTCTGGAGCTGATAATGTGTCGGATGCTTTTGAGATCTCCACTCAAGCTACATCAATTATGAGCCAAGCTAGCATGGTGCTACGAAAATGGACTACGAATGACAATACATTGATGCAGTTTTTGGACACGTGAAGGTTTCGATACACAGCCACAAGTCAACACTATTAAAGTTTTGGGACTGTCATGGAATCCTGCTGAAGATTGTCTAATATTGGGAAAGCAGAGCCTAGTGGAACAGTCTGTCTAAAAACGAAAGTACCAAACGATTCCTACTACGTACAATTGGAAGGATTTTTGATCCGCTTGGGTTGCTTTCGCCGTTTACTATTCGTGCAAAGTTCATTCTACAAGTCTTATGGATGAAGAAAATTTCTTGGGATGAAGCAATACCTGTAGATCTACAAAAAATATGGCTTCAGTGGTGCTCCGAAGTTCCTGATCTTTCAGAGTTACGAGTTCCTAGAAATGTGCTCAATTTACAAGAGTCAACCGATATCTTAGAACTACACTGCTTCTGCGACGCTAGCCAAAAGGCTTATGGTGCTGCTATTTATGCAAGAGTTGTGAAGGATAATAACATCGAAGTGAATTTATTGGTTAGCAAGAGTCGAGTGACGCCACTAAGGAAAATCACTCTTCCGAGACTAGAATTACTCGGTGCTTTGCTTGCCGCCCGACTAGCGAGTAAAGTCAAGAAAACAGTGGATTTAAAAAAGCCCTCCTTAGTGTTCTTTTGGACGGATTCAAAAATAACTCTCTATTTGATTAAAGGATCTACGAAACGATGGAAATCATTTGTTGCCAATAGAATTAACGAAATACAGAGTTTAAGTGATACCAGTGCCTGGGCACACTGCCCTGGGAAGCAAAATCCAGCTGATCTCCTCAGCAGGGGAGTCAGTGCTGGCATTTTATTGAACAGTGACATTTGGTGGCATGGACCCCAATTTTTTGAGAGAAAAGACTGATGTTCCGGTAGACAATAATGACATTCTAATTTCATTAGATGACTTTTCTGATGAACTAAAGAAAACTGATGACTCTAATGATCATTCTCCTATTGCCTTTACTGTTTTAAATCATAGTTCTATAGTTGATGATATTCTTTCCTTGAGTAATAATTATTTAACTATTGTTCATGTTATGTGCTATGTATTTAGATTTATCAATAATGTTAGAAATGAAAAGCTTACAGGTCACCTTACATTTAGCGAGTTGAGAAGAGCGGAAATCTATTTATTTAGGTCAATCCAACAAGGTGAGTTTGTAGATGAAATAAAACATCTTGAGAGAGGTGCCTCAGTGCCCAGCAACAGCAAGGTAAAATCTTTAAACTGTTTTTTAGATAAAGACAATGTTCTAAGGGTTGGAGGCAGACTGAAACATTCTGACCTCAGTACATATGAGAAAAATCCAATTGTTCTGCCAGATAAGCATCCATTAACTTTAATAATTGTGAGATATTATCATTTAAAAATATTGCATGTTGGTTCAAATGCATTATTGTATCATGTTCGACGTAAATTTTGGGTCTTAAATGGCAGAAATGTTTGTCGTAAATTGTTTTTCAATGTATAACTTGTTTTAAAAACAAACCTGTTTTTGAGACTCAGATAATGGGTGATCTGCCCAAAGAACGAGTAACACCTTCTTACCCATTTAGTAATGTTGGAACTGATTTTTGTGGACCATTCCACATTAAATTTAAAAATCAGCGTAAGGGTAAACTAAACAAAGTTTATGTGTGCATATTTGTATGCTTAAGCACCAAAGCCATCCATTTAGATTTTGTCTCTGATCTTACTTCAGATGCCTTTATAGCTTGTTTGAAACGATTTTTTAGTCGCAGGGGTAAATGTGCAAAATTATTCAGTGACAATGCAAAGAATTATGTGGGTGCAAGCATTGAGCTCAGAAAATTGCATAAATTGGTTAAACACCCAGATGAAACACTGACTAAATACCTGCTAAGTGAAAACATTGAGTGGAGGTTTATTCCTCCTAAATCACCAAACTTCGGCGGCCTTTGGGAAGCCGGGGTGAAATCTTTTAAGTTTCATTTGAAACGAATTATTGGCAATGCTCATCTGTTTCTTGAAGAATTTCTCACTGTGATTCTAGAAATTGAAAGCGTATTAAATTCCAGACCTCTTACTCCCTTATCTTATCATCCGAGTTTGATAATTTTGAAACCTTGTCCCCCGGACATTTTCTCATAGGGAGGCCTTTAACTTCAATAGCTGAACCCCAACTTGTTGAGATACCAGAAAATAGGCTAGGCTCTCAAAGTGGCAAAAAATAACGAAATATAGTCAACAAATTTGGAAGTTATGGAAGAGAGACTATTTAAATAACCTTCAACAACGTAGTAAATGGATGTTTGCTAAAGATAATGTTAAGGTGGGTTCACTTGTGTTAGTCAAGGATGAGCATATGCCCAGTACAAAATGGTTAACAGGTAGAATTGCAGAAATAATTTTTGGAAAAGATAAAAAAGTTCGAGTGATTAACATAGTATTACCAGGTGGTAAAATGTTAAAAAGAAATGTGAGAGACATTTGTGTTCTTCCTGTGAATTGTAATTAGATTTATGTATTGTATATTGTAATGTGTTTCTTTCCAGTGTTTATATTGCATTTATGATTTAATGTGTCTTTTAAAATTTAACCATTGTATTGCTATTGCTTACAATTGTTTGTTATTATATTGTGCTTTAAAACAGTGTATACTAATTGTAATATTTTGAAACCCGTAAGGTTTCAAGGTCGGGAGTATGTTCAGTAGTGATTAAGAGTTGCCGACAGGAGGCGCTGCTAGCGCGTTATACTCTCGACCTACGTAATTTGAATTGAGTATTCTTTTCTTTTGTGTACTTGCTGTAACAGATCTTACAGCTTTGTGATTGAGAATTTAAAATATTTTGGAGCCAGATCGTTCCTCTACAGCAACAAAAAGATTAATAAATATATAATAAAGTAAATATCTTTGTGATGATAATCTTTGTTATTAAATACAAAGTTAACCAGCTCCTGAGTACAGTTCAAATACTTTGATGTTTTTTAAACCATTATGTGAACTGCTATTTCTTTTAAATGAAAGAATATTGAATATTTCTTTAAGGGCTTTATGTTGCAGAATTCTTATTTTATATAAATCGTTTTTACTTTAATCGTTACTTGCTCAGAAGAGGGCTTAAATTTGTCCTCTTTTGAGTTTAAATTTATTTCTGAGTTCTGGAAAAGTTACATTTATTTTCGAGTTTGGCTAAATGATGTCTAAACGTGAGTTTATTATCAAGTATGATAATTATGTATGTAAATTCTTGTATCCAGCGTATTTCTTCTTCAAATAAAGTGAAAGTAAATGGCAGATTAACTAAATTCTCCATTCAGTAGGCCACGTTCTTAAATAATCAAAATATTTCTGATTTAATTGTAAATATTGCCTAAAAATTTAAATTCTGTTAAAACAGCTGTGTTATGAACGTACCAGTTCTATTGGAATTTTAGGATGTTGTGGAACGTCTGAGAGACTTACACCTGGCACTCCTGCTTTGGTCGGCGTCCGCAGCAAATATGCATTTCTAACTCAAGTGTTAAATGATCTCTTACGGAATCAAAGAAGATTTGAAAATTATTTCATTGTTAGGGTATTTGACACTAAGCACAAATGAAACAAATTACAAAATAACAATGCCTAGATAAAATTTCGAATAGAATTCTTGCTAATATATGTATATGTGTGTGTGTGCATATACATAATTTAAAAAAATAAAGCAATATCTTTATCCTGCGTATTTTAAGATAAAAAAAGGGGAACGAAAATTTCTTCGATATTGTTACATATTGAAATGGAGAAACTAACATTTTGTAAGAAAGAAGTTAAGATAGCCGGCATGATAATCAAAAGACATATTATTCCTAAATAGAGGGATTACTTGGCTTTTGATTCCTATGCAGAACTTGAAAAAAGTTATCAAAATATATTATGATAATAGATTCTATAACCATGTCTACTGTAAATTTAGTAATTGAAGAAGCTGATTATTGCAACGAAGATTCTTAGCTCGCCATCCTATGCTGTAATTTTTCTTTGACCTTTAACTATAAATATCTGTCTGAGTCTGCAATTATTTAAATACAAATGTAAAAAACTGCAATAGAGTCGTGAATGAAAAATTTGTTTTCCTGAATAGTGACATCAGTTTTTGTCAGGATTTAGAATTTAAGTTCCGGTACCATGCACTGGAATCTTTATTCACTGTCGTAGGAAGAACTAGATGAATGGATGCATTTTACATAATCATGCCTGTTCTACTCCCGAAATTGATGATTTGATGTTCCATGACGTTTCATTCATACTTGATCTGTGAAAGCAATATAAGATGTCAACATGAACGTCTTCTTTATCTCTTAACCTTCTTTATCTCCCTCTTCTTAATCTTCTTTATCTTATCACTTTCTTACATACCATCCCTGACACTGCTTATCAGATTCTTTATTATTTATTCTCTTTAAATATAAAACAGGGCTTTAAATACAATACTCAAAATGCCAAAACTAAATTTGCAAATTGCCCCTTTGGAGTAAAAAAAGGAAAATCTGAATGCTTCCAGATTTTATATTACGCCCAAAAGAGCGTCTTTTTTGAACGTCTTGCATGTTACCTTTATTTATTAAATATTATGTTCTTCGCACTTAAAACGCATAAAATTCAATTCAAAAGCAATATCACAAAACACTTAAAAACTGCAAAACAGCATATCTTTAGAATTTTCGATACACAGTCTCGCGCGCTGAAGTTACAAATGTACTTTTCCGCACAGTGTTGCCATTACTCGCTTTAAAATCGTTGAGTTTGTTAATCAAAAATTCGTTAAAGTTTTAAAAAATTGGAATTACATAATAAAACAAATTTGAAATTCAAAATCGGGCTTCCAAGTGCCTATGTTCGGTTGGAGAACTACGTTATTCAAAATTTGATGGCTCTGGGTACCGTCATTTTTTCACAGTGCGAGAAACATTCATGCATTCATTCAGATTCTTCATTATTGCTTCTTTAAACATAATACATAACGATAATATTTGGTGGCAACCATTTGAAATGTGAATCCACGCAGAAAATGAAACGACGCAAAATGCCGTTTTGAGACTAATAGCTCTTTTGGTCTAATGCCTCTTTGAGTTTAAAAATATAAAGCCATTCTATGAAAGCATTGAATATATTTAATTAGATAGATCAGGAATTAAATGCATTTTTATTATTTAAAAATGCATATAATTCCTGTTACATTATACAGTAAGAAAAGAATTTTCTTAAGAACTGCGTCTATTCGTTTCAGAAGGTTTAATTAACCCATAACAGACAGATTCAATCTGAGAGATAAATATCACATATTGGTGCCGAATGGCATCAGACTCGAATGAAAAGTGAAACATTTACAGTGATTTTATGCAAAATCCCATTTCGAGACTAATAGCCCTTTTGGGCTAAAAGTAACAAAAAGTGCATTAAAAGAATTATCTCCCAGTGTTACACGAAATTTGAAAGAGGTAGCTATTTGTAAGAGGTTTCAGTTATGAAACGAATTCATATAGTTTAAAGTCTGTAATCCCATTTTTCATCACTCCTTTACATGCATCTGAGGAGCCAAGCGTGAAAAATGTAAGCTTGTCATCAGAAGTGATGGATGACGCTAAAGTAAGTTATTACTCAAACTAAGGCCGATGCGTGATAAATTTGCAAGTTTCGTGTATATTCATGGAAGAGATCAAAGTTGGGGTTCAATTTTTAGCCGAAAATTTATGGAACGATCGGAAAATAAAAATTACATTCAGGTGCTCGCTTTTCCTTTTTGCCCACAATGTGACAAGCCAATAAAATGTTCCCAGAAATACAATAAACCACAATAACTTTTTTTAATGGTGCGAAGATAAAATATTTTATAATAAGCTTTTAGATATTTAGATATCTTATACACAACCTAAATATTATTAGTTATTTATTGAAATTTTACAGAGTACTTTTACGATTATTTTCGTTTGCATCAGTTTAGCTCTGTTAGAAACTTCTTCATTAAAGGTATATCCTAGTATAAAAAGTATGTCCCAGTATAAATTGGTGCAACGTTTATGCGCCGATTTGAATATTTTGATATCAATGGATCTTCAGCCACAAATTAAACCTGAAAGAATAATATTAATAAAGCATTCAGTAAGCATTCCGTAAATGGTCAGTAAAAGAATACACTTTACGTCCTTGAGTAACAGGTTTCATTCTTCGTGTTAAGATCCACGTGAATATCATATGTATGTGTGCATTAGCTACTTATGGGAAATGAAAGATTAAAGGTAATTAATTATAATTTTTGTATCGCTAATTTGCATAGTTTACTTCTTTGCTTTTCTGTCGAGTTTTTGAAAAACTGTATAAGGTTATGTTAATTGACCTAGTTAACTTAATGTTTTGGTTTTATTATAAATTAATTTTTATCAACTTCCACCAGAATGCTAATTCGTTAAAGTATAAATAAGCTGCGAGTTCTTGAGTTTTCAGAAAGAAAAAAAGAAAGAAAACTTAGACTAACCGTCACTGCTTTAGTTTCCCTCTTGTTGCAAGGGAACTTACTGTTGTACGCTTCTGCTAGTCACGATTGTTCAAGAGCGCTCGTCCCTAAAGGCGAAGATTTAGTTAGGTGTTATGATTTTTTACTTCGCATTCCATTTAATTCGAACGTGCGCCCTGCTTACCTACAAGTTAGCAAAGTTCTTTTTCTATTAAACTTTGAATTTGTGGAACCGTCACGTATACGTACAGATGAATAATTTTATTCTAAACTTTTACTTTGGCTATGATAATTGTAGTTAGAAAAGCTTTCTAACTGTCTTTGGCTCGCTCCGAGTGAACTGGTACTTTAAAGCTAACAGTGTAAACGTACAACTTCAAGCTTTAGGATATGCTGAAATGTGAAATTCAGCAGATTAATGAGTTTGTCTCCAAGCGGTCAGGAATATCCACTATGATTATGCGTGACCCAGAATTTAACTCGTCCTCATGATGTTTTTATAAGTATTTCTGTATCTCTAACAGTCGTGCAACATTTTCACTAAATTACAAATTATTACAACAAATTATATCACCATTTCGAAAGGTTTTTACTTAATGTTACTTCAGCAATGCATTTTGCTCTTTAATGTCTTATCAATTGGCTTTGACGATG